ATGCACAGGTTATACGGCCTTCACAGATGCTGCTCTTTCCCATGTAGCTACCTGCAGTGTGGGTAACCAGCATAGGCAATGAAAAAGACACATTTACTAACTGACTATTTCTAGTTTTATGACTTTTATTAAAGCTGTTTACCCTCTGGATTCAGAACCCTTCTACAAGAAGTGCTCATTCTTCTGCATGAACGTCTATTCAAGCTGGGCTGAGATTAGTCTATTCATCAAATACAGCTTTCTTACTTTAAAGGGAAAATGTTGTATAACATTATTCTTACAAATTTCTTTCTGAATCATGTTGGACTATATTCTCCTCTTGGTTACAGGGGTGTCACCTCAATGAACTGAGGAGAATTTTACCCAGAGTACACTGAACAGCATAACAAACCACATTGATTTAGAGAAAGGATTGCACTTGACTCTGAAGATCAGTTCTACTCCAAAAAGTGACTCTATAAAAATGGTAAAGTAGGCTCCAGGTTTGCCTCAAGTGAGCTCAGTTTACAGGTAAAGAGAGATGTGAGAAGAAGGGCAGGATTCCTCATTGACAGCCCTACAAACCCAGTTACGGAGGGAAGAGGGCTCTCTTCTTCATCAGTTGTTGGTTTTGCTGACCAAATTATGATTTTTTAGGGAAACCTATTCAACCTGAACGCTTTTAGGGGGATTGCACAGATGCACTTGTTTGAAATGTAACAAAAGAATTGGGTTGCTAAACCTCAAGAAGGAACAGAACTTAGATGCTTCTATCTTAGCTGTGCTGGCTTTGCAGTACTAAGAGGAGTGAAAAGCAATAAAACTATACATCAGCAAATGTGACTTTGAATACATGCATGAGCAGATTCATTTTTGGGTAAGAAGGAGCCATTTTTCAATTACTTTAAGTTGTAGAAACAGATTTTAGATAACAAATTGGAGATAAATTCTTCAAATAACCAAGGAAGATGCAAGTCATAGACAATTTGACATGTGTAAGAGAGAATTACCCTAAAAATGAAGAGTTGGCATAAGTTAGCATGCAAATACTTGTTAAGATGTGGCCTTCAGAGTGATTCTTTCTGCCCCAATCCCCAAGCCATCATAACACAGAACATACCGGTAGTCCTGGCTCACCAGCTCCAGGTGGGCCAAGAGGGCCTGGTCTTCCTGTCAAGCCAATATCACCCTTCAAACAGATATATTTTGAAAAGCATTTTTATTTTTAATTTGTGCAATGCATAAACACTTTTAAACCAAACATTCTCTGTGGAAGTGTTTAATTTACCTGAATGTAATGCAGGTTGCACCTCAATAAACCAGCACTCTCTTGTTCAATAATATCTGTGGTCCAGAAGGACCATGGATTTTCCAGGATCAGGGAGTCCTGGTGCATTGCAGGAGGGGTGGGGAGCCAGTGCACGGCTCAGCTGGACTGCTGAAGGGAGCGGGGGTTAAGTGCTGGTGTGTAGCTCAGCTGGGCTGCAGGGATGCCAGAAAGCCTATGGGGAGCAGTGGGGACTGGCAGCAGGGGGGACAGAAATGACCTCCCCTGGTCTGGAAAAATCTCTCATCTGGGACCAATCAGGTCCTCAGGGCACTGGACCAGGGAGATCCAACCTGTAGTAAGGCAAATCCTAATCTCCTCACCTCCCTGGCAACCATGTCCGCTGACAGGGGAGAGGGACAAGTTGGGTAACTGCCCCAGAGCCTGGAAATTCTCAAGAGTCCAGGAATACCAGCTGCTGCTATTGTGATGCTGGCAGTGGCCAGAGCCCCGGGGCCTTTTAAATTGCCATTGGAGTGCCACGCAGCATGCTCCAGGCAGCTCTAAGGGTTTTTTTGGGGAAGGGGAGAGCTGGCATGGTGCACTCCGGGCAGCGCTGAGGGCTGGCTGCCCTGGCCCTGCCCCTTCTATCCGAGGCCCTGCCCCTTCTGGGAGTGTGGAACCAGCCCCACAATTTTGCTCAGAGTCCTAGGATGGCTGTCGGCTCCCTTACTGCCAACACATAAAACTGAGTAGACAGTGGAACTGGTGCAATTTCACGGTGTGGAGAAATGGATGGAAAGCTACAACAGAGATCATGGGGTATCTTTACTGCCACATCACATATAGAATCCAATACATCAATAGGTTGCCTCTAATCATTGTTTATAACTATTGATACGATTTTGTCATGGTAAAATGAAGCAAAATTCATGGAACAATCATGGTGAAAATGTTCAAAATCAGGGTATGATCACAGCAGAGCTGAAGCCACAACCCAAACCCCGTTGCAGTGGACTGAAGCGGAAGAAGTTGTCAACATGAAATCTGTGACTTCCATGATCAAACCATATCCTTACTTATAATCATCTATCACATCTATCACTGGACAGTCTCTGCAGGAAAGAATCAATGAACACAAATCAGATATACATAAAGGAAATGTTACCCCAGAGTCTCAGAAACAAGCAGAATCTTTTGAATTAATTTAGAATTTAGGATAAGGGATCAGATTGATGATGTTAAATGCTCTGGTTACCAGAAGGGAGGCCCCTGTCACAGTATCTGATAACTGGTGATTAGATACGGTGTCAGGGGCCTCCCTTCTGGTAACCAGAGCATTTAACATCATCAATCTGATCCCTTATCCTAAATTCTAAATTAATTCAAAAGAGTCCACTTCTTACTGAGACTCTGGGATAACAGATTTGGTGACCGCGGCAGGACTTGACAGGATTTTTCCTAGTCAGGTCCAGAGGCACCACCTAGACTTATATAGGCTGTGCCTGACAGTGCATGAAACAACAGAATAACACCATTTGCGGTCCAGTGCCTCGGGGAGGGCTTGGATTTTCCCTTTCCCCAATATTTTTACTCCACCCCTGTGTAAAATCCGGTTTGTGTGTGTGTCCAAGGGAGCTTAGGGATGCCCAGCCCCAGCATACACCACCAGTAACAGAGCGGTGTTTCCCCCATCGGGTCTGTTAGGGCCTACTGGTCTGGGAAGCAGAGCTTCCTTCTCCCTAGCACAGGCTGGAGCAGCTAAAGGTGAGGCCTTGGCCTGTCCTGTGGATTGAGGGCCTGACAGAGTGTCACTCGCTTGAAACCTGTTCGTGTTTTATTATCACTGCTACCCTAGCCTTTGTTGTTGGTTTATTTTTGTTATTGTTTGTGGGATCTGTTGTAATTGGGCCCTGCTGTTGCTGCAGGCCCAAGCCAGATCTCCACCGGAAAATCTTGAGGCAGGCTTCAGTTCGGCCCTAGCCTCTGCTAACCCCTCTTTTGGTTAAGGAACTGGGTAAGCAACTCTGTAACTTTTGTTTCCACATCACTCTCTAAAAGATCTCCAGGTAGCTGTCTTGTCACACACCAGTTCTACAAGCCAGATCCACAGGGAAGGATTGGAAGTAGAGTTCATCCGCAAATTCAATTCACATGCTAATGGACTCAATCACGATGAAAGTTGGTTGGGACACTACCAACTTAACAGTCATTGAAGGTGCAAACAGCTCTTTGTGTATACTCCCATGCCAGGAAAGATACTGTCTATTAACTTTGATTCTTATCTGCTTACTTTAACTACCCAATCTTCAGATACTTACTGATTCCCTCTGCTCACTGACTCCCACCTCCCTTCCTTTTTCTTCCCTCCCCCCTCACCTTCCCCTCTCCTATTTATTTTGGGTGTTCACATCCTAAACTCACAACTGCAGTCATCCGAAGAAGTGGGCTGTGCCCATGAAAGCTCACGATACCATCTACATGTTTTGTTAGTCTATAAAGTGCTGCCAGACCATTTGTTTTTCCCCCATCTATCACATGTTATTTTGATGTGCTTAAAACCACTTTAACATATGTAACTGGCATCCAGACACACACAATGGCTACGTCTACACTGGCCCCTCTTCCGGAAGGGGCATGTAAATTTCACGAGTCGTCGTAGGAAAATCCGCGGGGGATTTAAATATCCCCCGCGGCATTTAAATAAAAATGTCCGCCGCTTTTTTCCGGCTTTTAAAAAAGCCGGAAAAGAGCGTCTAGACAGGCCCCGATCCTCCGGAAAAAGTGCCCTTTTCCGGAGGGTCTTATTCCTACTTTGAAGTAGGTCTTATTCCTACTTTTTTAAAAGCCGGAAAAAAGCGGCGGACATTTTTATTTAAATGCCGCGGGGGATATTTAAATCCCCCGCGGATTTCCCTACGACGACTCGTGAAATTTACATGCCCCTTCCGGAAGAGGGGCCAGTGTAGACGTAGCCTTCAGGT